CCCGACGCGCATGGGCTGATGGCTCAGGGCAATGGGGCCGAGACCACAACCCCAGGGCCTCTGGGACATGGGGCTCGGGCTCACCGTCCGAGCCGAAAGCTGATCGCGGCTCGGTGCTGAGGCGCCCTGGCAGGGGAGCGGAGACATGCGCGCGGCAGTGCGAGGAGCCGTGCGCGGGGCAGGCGGTTGGGGATTGGCGCCGCGGGCGCCTTGCCGCCTCAGACGGCCGCGCGCCCTCGTGCCCAGGGCGTCGGGCACTTGGCTTCATGCTCGGCTCAGTTGCGAGGGCGTCGCATGTCAAGGTGAGGGCATGGGCTCGGGCCCGATAGCCACGGGCGCAAGGTTCGGGGCCAGTCGGCGGAGGAGCTGGCGCTCGGGAGTTGGAGCTCGTCGGGGGCCGAGCCCAAGAGGGCTTAGGGCTTGGGCTTCTGATGCGTCGCCTCGGCGCTACCGCGCGCAATGGCGCTGGGGACGCGGCTCAATGCGCATGGCGGGGACGGGTGATTAAGCGCGTGCGAGCGTGCCTTTACGGCCTGCAACGCGCGGCGCGTTTCTCGCAGTGGGGTCTCAGCGCGTGGCTCGGGGTTTTGACACCCGAGCTAAGCGCGCCTGGGGCCGTCGGGGGCCGCGGCGCTGCGCGTGCGGTCTCGGGGAAAATACATATGCTTGGGCCGCCCCGTCTACTTGGACCCTTGAAGCCCCGAGCGCGCGATTCGCGGCAGGGGCAGGCGCACCGCGTGATTCGGGGCCTTGTCTTGTAGGGCCTGCGTTTGCTCGCGCCCTGGCAGGTAGCAGGCCCCTATCTTATAGCGCCCATGTCTTGCGCCCGAGAGCTCTGTGCTCGGAAATTCAAGTGTGCGTCAGCCGCGGGGCCGTCTGCAAGTTTCGCGCGGCGAGACGCGCCGTCTCGGTGCGAACTGTCAAGGCCCTGGGCTTCGGGGTCAGCTTCCAGCGCGCGGCTGGGGCCAGGGGGCTCTGCGCCCGCTGCAGACAAGTTGGGTCTACCCGCGGTGCCGCGCGGGCCGTTCCGCACATATCCACCCGCTTTGGGTTACATGTGCAGGTTTCCGGAACGGGGAGCGCGGCATCGCCGAGTTCGGTTGCGTCGCCACTCTCCCCCCTCATGTGGTTCGGGCGCATGATTTTGTTGTTGTGTTTTTGTTCCCCCGCTTTGGGTGCGGTTGTTCTCGGGGTCCCGCGCAGTGCGGCGCCGTCTTGGGGCGCGACTGGGGCGCGCGTTCGCACGCTGCGCCACGCGCGCGCCTGCTCGGGCAACGCGGCGCTAGGTGTTCAGTGGCAACATGATTGACCAATAACCGTCGTTGCGCGACCGCTGCAACATCTACCATCATCGTTAACCACCGTCGTCTATTCACGGCCCGCCAAGCATGTTCAACTTATCGTCATCATTGTCTGTCATGCCACCTAAACGCACATGCACCATGCGTCATCATACACGCACCATCACCATCGTCATATATTCTCATTTCGTCATGTCGCCGTTGTGCCCAGGCTTTGTCAAGGCAGGGCGCCGCCGACGACAGCCGAGTTTTCTCTTGAGCAGAGACCGCCATGGACGTCCACCTTACTGGAAACTTCAACCTCGTAGTGACTGACCCAAGTCGGCCGATGTCGTATGAAAAACGCATCGACGTCGAGGTGCCCTTGACTCTGCTGATTCTCGGGTCGAAGCCAGGGGAGTCGTCATGCCCGACGGAGAGGGACGCTGGCGGTTCACAGTCGCAGGCGACACAGCGGGAGGAGCCAGAGGAGCCCACTGTCGTTGAGGCGGACGCGGAACAGCAGGGAGTGGACATCTCTTTCATAGAATCTGGATGGCGCGCTGAGGTGGCCAAAATTCGGCACGCGAACGGCATGGTGCCATCCGTTCCCACCGACTGGTTGCCCCCCAAAGTAGAGAGGGCGTTGTTCCAACCGCACCGTTTCACTCTGCATGCGGGCGAGGGCGCGTCTGCCCTGGCATCGGGGCAGTCGGGCGCTGAGGACTCAGCCGCATATAAGAGCGCCGACGTCCTCGCCCAGAGGTCTGCTGAGAGCGCCGCGGGCTCTCACGCGGGCGTCGGGGCATCGCAGACCCCGTCAGCTTCGGGCAAGCGCGCCGCTTTCGATCCCAATGAAGTTTTGGAAGTGCCCGATAGCTTGAGCCCAGAGAAGCCCCCGTCCGACGTAGGGTCGCAGTTTGCTCCCTCCGAGCCCCGTCATGGTTATGACAGTTTGTTTCCGATGGGCGTGTGTACGCCAGCGAGGGTGCACGACGCAGGCGAGGGCCTGTGGACCCCGACCAAGGCCGTTTCAGACTCGGGCAACAGTATCCAGCCCCCGCTCAAGAGAAAGCGCAATTGGCTTTTGAAGCCAGAGTTTGGCGGCCCTGCTTCCAGCACTTACGACAGCGGGCAGAAGGCCCGATCGGCAGCCGCGGTCCTCACCGCTCCCACCCGAGGAAATCAAACCTTTGGATTTGCTGGGCCACAAGCTCCAGAGCCCTAGCATGGTGCTTAGCGAGCTCTCACAGGCTTTCCCTCCGTGAGTATGATGGGGCGGCAGGGGTGGCGGGAGTAAGGGATGGGCGGGAGCGGGGCATGCGATGCTAACACGTATGAGGGGTATGTCGATTGTAATTGGGGTGTGGGGAGGGATGGGTCGAGGCCAGGTCGCCACAATATCAGCCTGCTATGCGTGTGGGCGTGGCGGTGTCGCCGTTTGCTCGCTGCATGGGTCGGCTTCATCACTGCCTGATTCGGGTCATGTTTCAAAGGCGTTTGTGAATTCCAGGTGCTGGGGACGTCTGTGCCACTCAGTGCTCGTCTGCCGCTCATCTTCACTCGGGTTTGAGTGCCATTGCGGGGCAGGGCGCTCAGAGGTTGGTCCAGAGCCATGCGAGGACGTAATTATTGTGATAGTGAACATCCTTCCTCATCGTCGTCCTCTGCCTTAGTCCTTCCACTGCTCCACCCCTCGCGCCCCGCCCCTCGCCCGCCTGGTCACCCTATCCACCCCATGCACGCCCTCGCTCACATCATTTCCGTTTTCATATGCATGCTCCTCTTGATTGTGTGTACTCTCTTCGCCATCTCCAACTCTCCCTCTCACTGCCCCTCCTCAGCCCCCTCCGTCGCCATGGTCATCCCCTTCAGCATCCCTCGCCATCTCCTCGCCAGCACCCTCATCCCTCTCCTCGGTCGTCGTTGCCCTCGGCTCGACTCCTCCTCCTCTTCCTCCCAATCCCTCTCCCCGCGCCCGTGCATCGCTCTGTGAACGCCGGCGCTGGGTCGGCGTCGGCGTGGACGTCTCGGCCGCTGGAGGACAGCCCCGCGCGCCGCTCGCGAGCCCCCCCCGCGTGCGTTTGCAGTCTCCGCCTCGTCCTCGCCACGCGCTCGCATCCCTCGTCGCATTCATTGCCATCGGCTTTGCATGGGCGGGACGTGCCTCCCACGATATCTCTCCCCCCTCCCCCCGCGGGCTGAGCAGTGCTGTCGGAGTGATTGCGGAGCTGCGCGAGAGCGAGGGCGAGCCCAATATCGGGGGCTCGATGGGGCGGGCGCTGGAATTGTCGTCGTGGGGAGTGGGGGAAGGGCGGTTATCATCAGGGTGAGGGCTGGGGCTGGGGAGGGCGATAGTGAAGCTGGTAGCTCAGTGGGTATTCTGAGTTTCAGGAGCAGATCCACAGCCGTGCCGCCCGAATCGAACTCTCGGCCCGATGTGACGGTGAAAGCCTCGCTGCGTTGTCAACGGTGCGACGGTCGCCACTCAGAGTATACACATCTTGTCGGTGAGTTGACGGTTGTCTGGGCGCCCGCCCCTTTCCGTCTCCATGCCCCTTTTGGCGGATATTGCCATTTATGCTCAAGCAAGGCTTGAACACCGAGCTTTAACGACACCTTTTTGTGTCAGGGCACAGTGCCAGCAGTACCGCCCGATTTCAACACCGCTCTCTCGACATGGGCAAGCGTGGTGACCACAATGCGAAGCCCCCGCAGAAGGTTCCCTGTGGCCAGGGCCGCAGGCGTCGTGGTTCTCAAGATGCCTCTGCCTCTGCTGCCCACTCGGCCGCGTCGGCGCTGGCGAGATTGGCTGCGCCTGACTCCTTCCAGCGCGGCACGTGCGATGTCACCGATGTCAGCATGGCGGTGCAAGATGCAACGGTGCCAACCTGCACTACGTGTTTCGATCGGTACTGCAAGGGCTTCACCCAGTTCGGCAGCTTGGAGAAGGTCCAGGAGGGCGTCAACGAGGAGGGCTCGCACATACACGGATGCTGGGAGGAGTCCAAGCGCATCGAGAAGGGCGAGGCCGCGAAGTCCTTCTTCCCGACGGCCGTCAACGAGGGTAGCCAGTTCATCACCGCGGTCGTGAAGCCGATGGTCGGCATAACCCGCGGGCAGCTCGTCTCAGACGTGCTGCACGAGGAGCCCGAGGCGCTGGGCATCAAGCTCCAGGACTTGCCCGACCACGAGGGGAACACCTACAAGGGCATCTTGGTCCCCAACCCGCAGCGGCCGTACTTGGAGTACAACGTGACGAACGAGATCTACGCCAATATGATTGCGCACAAGATGACGCCAGACCAGCAGATTTTCGATGCGCAGCCTTTGGGCACGTACGATCACGCGCGCAAGGATCGGGCAGCGTTAAGACGTACGCCTCACGCTCGGATGCTTGATCACGGGGCTTTGTTTCCTTATGTTTTCTGGCACGACCCCCCCCTCCACGCGAAACTTGGAGGTGGCGTCGGGGCTTCCCCGACGCTTGCGCTTCGTCGCCCCCGCCCTCTATCGCCAGCTTGCCCCCCTGGATTGTTCCTGGCCGCATGTGCGCCCCTTTGCCCTCTCCCCCTCCCCTGCCTGATCCGCGGCATGGCCGAAGGAATGCCGTGAACAGGGGAGGAGGGGGCGGCGATTGAGATCACATGACGGCGTTAGCTCGTCGCCGAGACGTTCACAAGCATCTGAGCGCGAGCGTGCGGGGCGCAGTTGCCGCAGGGCCTTTCCACCACTGGCAAGTTCAAGCCCATCTGCGTGAAGGCGCGCACAGAGGCCTACACCATCGATTCCCTGATTGCGAGGGCGGAGAACTACAGGAAGACGCAAGCGGAGATCGAGCGGAGGGCCAAAGAGGCCGAGGATGCGGCTGTTGCTGCCAGTGGCGAGAGCCCGTTCGGCGGCAGCCCTTCGCCCGCGGCTCCGCAGCAGGGCGCGCTTGCAGCGGGGTCTGGGCCGCAGCTCAATCCTGCGGCGATGGCTTGCTCGCGGTCCGTCGTCGCCCCCTCCGAGTGCAGGCCGCCGAGGACGCCTGGCGCGAGGCCCCGCGGAGGCGCCAGATCCGTCATGTCCGATGCCAAGAAGTCCGAGGTGGAGGAGCTCGTGGATAGGCGCATTTCAGCTCTGGACACGAGCAGGTGCTGGTCGGGCGCGGCCATGGGCCGCGAGCTTCGCTGGGCCAGGGAGTCGCACGAGGGCATCATGGAGGCCAGCCCCACCCCAGAGGACTCGGAGACCGCTGACAAGCTGAAGGAGCACATCTCGGTGTGCGATGCGATCTGCGGGATCGTCGAGAAGCCCCTTCGAGAGATCCCGAAGAGCAAGCTCGACAGCTTCCTGAATACCCTGGAGAAGTACAACGAGGACATGCCGAGCAAGTGGAAGTTGGATAACTTGAAGGTTAAGGTCCTAGGGGTATCGCTGGGGCACCCAACCAGAGGTCGCAGGACTGCGCGCGCGGGTCGGGGTATGGCGGGGGGAGGCGACCCGCGCGCGCAGCCACTGGCCTGTGTTTGCAAACCCTGGCCGTGCCCCGAAGGTGGGCGACCTCTTGAAGAAGCCTGACATGTGCATGCATGATTTCTTATATATGATTGCGCCGTGGGAGGTCCAGCACGCCGAGGGCAATGGGAGCCTCACGTACAGGCCGACGTACCCCAGGGTGATCACGTTGGACGGCAGCCAGGCGGACAATATCAGCCAGCGCGACGCGTTCTTCACCGAGGCGCTGAACCATCACATCCATGCTGGCGAAGGCGGCCGATCCCAACTTGTTCAGTTCTGCACCTCCTGCCTCGACTGGATCGACAACAATTGCCCCGAGGATGAGGCCTTCGACGATGTCGTCAACACGATGGCGCAGTGCTTGAAGGCTCTCCTGTGCATTGCCAGCCCAGACAATATTGCCCACCACGATTCCATAACTAAAATAGGGGAGGCCAAGTCGCAGTGCCCTGGGCAAGCGTGCCTCCGCCACCTGAACTTGTCGGTGAAGCGCTCGGAGTTCTACACCAGCCTCAGGGCCGTGCGAGTGCGAGTTCACGTTGGCTTTCGTGGGGGGTGCTCGCGCTCTGGAGATTGTGGCCCTTGGGGGTGGGCAGGTGGTTCACGCAGTTTGTGGTGCCTGAGGGTGGCGTGGGGCCTAGTGGGCGGGTGGGCGGAGGCGGGTTCAGATCGCGCAATTCGAGGGCGGGCGAAAGACTCGGGGGGGGTGTACGAGGCCGGCCTCGATAATACTAGTGATTGAGCGCGATGCTGGTGGAGGGAGGGCCTGGGTGGGCTAGGGGCGGCTGAGGTTGGGCATGTATGGGTTTAGGTGATCAGGAGTTGAGGCGCAGGGCTGGGCGGGGAAGGCGGCACATCGCCAGGTTTAAGGGCTGCACCTTCGGAGTGTACGAGCACCCTCCCCCTCAGCGCTTTCCAACGTGAGCTTCTGCCCAGGATGAGTGCACGCAGTACCACACCAAGACGCAGGAGCACTGGCCCGAAGTTTGCAGCCTGCTCAGCAAGATGGAGCAGTGCGAGACCGTAGCGGAGTTTGTGCAGTCGGGTAACATGGCGATCGCTCTGAATAAGGTGGCCATGTTCGCCATGTATTGTCGGCCAGGCTCAATCGACGGCTTCAAGTCTAAGCTGACGGCGCTGTTCGAGAAGTACCTCGCCGACCTGCCGCAGGGCGACCCGTCCAATGACCCGAATGGCAAGGCTCTGACCGCGAGGCTGGCCGAGACAAAGGCGTTGGTGACTGCAGCGAAGATTGGCTTGCCAGAGAAACATTCCGTGTGGGCGAAGGCCTTGTCGGATATCCAGAAGCAGGAGTCCTCCGTGAACAAGTTCAACGCCAGCCAGGGCCTCGGGCAGCTCGCGTCGGCCTTGAATGCAGACGCATTGGCAGATGATGCGACGCGTCTCAGCGTCATTCCCGTGATCGAATCTGTCTTGGCCGCGGGTGGCAGGGGCGTTGAGGCCCATAGAGGGAGCGGCGCTGCCATCTTCCAGCACGTCCTCGACGGCATCGCCATGAATTGCACCCAGCCTGACCATGCGGAATCCTACTGTGACATCCTCCTGAAGCTCGCAGAGGCGGAGTGGCTGACCGACGCCTCGGGTACAAAGCTGAAGGCTGCGACCGACATGATCAAGAACTGGGCACCGCTCAACACCCACGTCGCGTGCTGGGATGGCCTGGCGTCCGACGACGAGAGCCGACTGGGCACGGCAGTGCGAAGAACATCATCCAGGGCATGATCGCAACGCTCAAGGCCATCAAGTCAGCTGGCATGGTCTCGGGCATGGGCGGCTTGGAGACTGACGCGACTAACGCTGGCCAGAAGACCGAGACGGCGAGCTTGGTGGCTAAGACGTCTACCATCAGGGTGCTCTCTGAGAAGACGAACGTTCTCAGGCCGATCAGCCGTGGCGGCGACGACAAGGGCGACCCGTGGGACTGCGGGATGCCCGACGGCAATGGGGGGATTGAGGAGGTCTTGGAGCGCGCCTTCGAGACCATCATGCTGATCGACGGCTCGGCCTACCAGGAGAAGACCGACGCGGTGCAGCATGCCTTCGAGGAGGCGCTGGAGCGGTCCGAGGTCTTCGAGTACCAGGTTGATACCAGCGTCATCGGCGACACGAACAAGGCGCTCTGGAACGCCATGGCCACCAAGTACACGGCCCTGCTCATCCACACCTACAAGGAGAACTCAAGCAACCCGCCCAAGTTGCGCCGCGAGATCAACAACTACAGGAAGCAGATCAAGGAGCAGTCGGGCGTCGAGAAGGCGATGCGCCAGGACGTCATGGAGTGGGCGTCGAAGATGTGCTCCCTCAAGGGCTGAGCTGGGCGAGGACGCCTTGCTGTCGGGGACATGGGTTACGGTGACATGGGGCACACAGGAGAAGAGAGGGCAGTGCTCTCAGGAACATTCAGTTCATCAGATTCTGCCATCTTCTCGAGCCGCATCTTCGTCCTCTCACATAGGCGACGCTTCGCGTTTTGCCGCCAGCCCGCCGAGCGAAGCACTGCCATGCGAGTTGCATTGATTAGGAGGCGCGCGGCTCATCCAATTGCATGGCCGAGCCAGCCGTCAAGCCCGCTCTCGAGGTCAGTCCCAGCAAGCCAGCGCGCTGAGTTGCTCAGCAACTCGTCGGAGGATGTCGGATGGCACGCTCGATGCCGACATCGATCGTGAGATCGATATTGAGATCGATTCTCATCGATAGTGAGTTCGATAGAGAGGTTGATAGTTGTATCGGTAGTGGCATCGATAAGGGGGCACCGATAGTGACACCGATCGTGAGATCGATCGTGGGATCGGTAGTGGGGCCGCTAGTGACATCTGTAGTGACCGAGAGTGAGGTCGATAGTGAGATTGATCGTGAAGCCGATCATGAGATCGACAGTGAGAGCGATAGGTAGATCGATGGTGGGACCAATAGTGAGAGCGTAGTCATATCGATAGTGAAATCGATAGCGACATCGATAGTGGACCGATTGCGAGATCGGTCATGCGCGGGCCAGTACGGTTGCCTTTACCCCTCCCTGTAAACAAGGGGCGCACGGGCTGTGCTTATCAGCTGGTCGCGGGGCATGGGCCCGATGGGTTTAGCCACGCGGTCCGCGCGCGCGTGGCTATGTCGTTTCGCTGGGTGGGCCTCGTCGGCGAGTGGGCGTAGATTCATGGGCGGGGGGGGGGGCGCGTGGGCGTCGGCCTTTGGGCATGGCCGAGTGGGCGGGGCCGCTCGGGTGGGGCTCGTTGCAGTGGAGGCACGAGCGGTGCCCGAGGGGCTCGGCCCCGCGGTGCAGGGGGGCCCGCGGATACCGTCGTGTTGGCGGTGCCAGTGGGTCGGGGCTGCGAGGGCGGGGCCCCTCTGGCGGGGCAACATGGGCGGGGCCCCGCGGGGCCCATGACGATGCCGTTTGGTTTAGATCATGCTGGCGGGGGCTCGTCGGCGGGACCGTCTCGGCAAGGGCGCGCGCACTGGGTTCGGTTGTTTTGCCCCGCGTGCGGGGCCGCTCGCCAGTGGGCCCGTTGGTGGTCTCACGGACGGCACAGATTTTGTAAGTTCGGCTTATCGGTCGCGGCCGCGCGGGCGGGGCGTCGCGGGCGGGGTCACGGGGGCGGGGCCATCGGGCGGGCACTGCGAAACCGCATCATGCATTGCCCAGGACAATTCCTGAGCGCAGTGGGGCAAGTGCTTGGCCGTGCAAGCAATTATTCCGAGCGCGTTTCGCAGGCTGCTGCATCGCCCGCATTGGTCGTTTTCGTCCGTAGGCGCTCCCGACTTGCACTATCAGCCAGGTTTGCTCTGGCTTTTTCGTAGCGCTCGAGAAACGCCGCACCCCCGCGCGCCCAGGACTTAGCTGGGCAACGGCGCAGCGGCAGAAGTGCCGCGATGCGCTCGGTGATCCCCGACCAGGGTCACCGCGCGATCACGGTCTGGCAGTTGCGCGGCGGTGCGCGCGGACGTTCAACTATGGGCGCAGCCGCCCCCGCGACGTAACGTCGCCATTATAGCTCCTGCCTTTTTGGCGCGCGCAGTCTGTGGGTTTGCTGTCCCAGCGAATGGTTTCAGTTGTTTCGTTTCCAGCTGGCGCGGGCGGCTCTTCATTATGAGGCATGATGCTGGCTGATTCAGCAGGCCGTCGCCGAGTTCCCACGCGCGCGCCCCGTCCGTTTCGATGGGCGTGGATTTGGTCGGCCAACGAATCGATGCACCAGTCTTTGCGGCGTTGCATCGGCGACGCCGCATTGCAAAAAGCCGTTGGTACTTTGGGGCCTATTTTTTGGGTTGCTACTTTCTATGTTTTTCGTAGGTAATTTGGAATGTACCCTAGAACCTATCCGTGTAGCTACTTTGCTCTGTTTGGCCACCCTCTTGACGTAGCGGGACGTGCCTATCATAACTCCCTCCTTCCGTATTTCCTCGCCCTTCCCCTCGCCTCCTCCCTCATTTCCGTCCCAACATATACCCCGCCCCTTGCCACCCCCTGGCTCCTGCCCCACGGGCGCCTGGCGCGGGCGACGGCGGCGCGGGCCCGCCCCCGCAGGACGCGCGCGCGCGGCCTTGAGCTCCGCGGCGTCGCCAGCAAACGCGCGGCGGCACCGCCCCCTCCTCCTCCTCCTCCTCTCCCCTCCCCGACGCCTCCTCCTGTTTCTCTTCTTTACCTCCCTCGTTCGTCTTGCTCTTCCTCGCACTCCTCCTCGCGTCGCTGTCTGAACCTTGTCCCCCGACTCCCCCGCCCCCCCCTTCCCTTCCTTGCTGCCAGAGCCTTATCCCTCACTCCTCCTCCTCCTTGCTGCCTGAGCCTTACCTCTCCCCTCCCACCCCCCCCCCCACCCACACACACACACACTAACACACACACACACACACACACACACACACACACACACACACACACACCCACACACACACACACACACACACACACACACACACACACACACACACACACACACACACACACACACACACACACACACACACACACACAACACACACACACACCACGACACACAACACACACACACACACACACACACACACACACACACACACACACACACACACACACACACACACACACACACACACACACCCTTTTGCATGTCCCCCCCCCTGCCCCCTGCCCTCCAAACCCTCTACTGCAGAAAGGGGGGGAAGGGATGAGAAGGAAGGCAGAGAACGGAGGAGAACGGAGGAGGATGGAGAGGAAGTGCACCACCAATAACACCACATAGGGGGGGGGCAGGAGCAGGATAAACAACATGGCCTGGGGCCCAGGAGGGCTATGCGCCATGTCCGCCGTGGCGCCGTAATGCGGGAAGCAAACGAACCCAAGCGTTCTTCCCCAAACCAGAACTGGCGTGTCGCAGTCGACTGTTGCAGTCTGCGCAAGCTGTCAGCTGCTCCCAGACGCGGGCTGGCCCCACCGAGGCTCACAGCGCTGCGTTGATACAATTGCCAATCAGACAAGTAAGAATGAATTCTTGACCAAATTGCCATGGCACTGCACCTGTACGTCCACGAGGATCCCGAAGATGTGCTCCATGAAACAATAGCCATTGATGTTCTGCCTCATGTCGCCGATCCAGTACTTGCGCTCGCGCCTGTGGAAGTCCCATTCTGCCTTGAGCACAATGTGCGCGTAGTGTTGGTGCTGCGGTTGCACCAGGCAGAAGACGATGTCTCCTTTTTGCACGGTGGACGCCTCCTTCACGACGCAGCCAGGGCCCGCCTCCGCTGTTGCAGCTTCCGCTGCGATGGCCCCTGGCCTGGAGCACGCAATTGGTCAGGCGGCTCAGGCGTCTTCGGCTTCGTCCTGGGGAGGTCGTAATCCTCAGGGGCTAAGTCCTGCTGGCCCCTCTTCTTCTCCCGCCGCGGCGCGGTTGCCTGCCAATCCCGATGACTTGCAGATGGTGCAGCCGACGGTGATCCTGAAATAGGTGGCGTGACAGGGGCACCAGAGGCCGCTCCAGGCATCAAGAGCGCAGGCTCATCACGCAGCCTGGCAGCCACCAGCACGTCACCAGGAGCTGTTGCAGCCGATGCTGCAGCCGACACTGCCCACGCCTGCGTCCGCGCCATCGACTCGCGCATGGCTCTCCCCAGCGCCTCCGCCTGCTCGCGCATTTCCTCCTGGGCGAGCTGAGGATCACGTCCCCCGCCCGCCTGCTGGCGCATGTACTCGTACTGGTAGGCGCAGTGCTGGATATCGCCGCAGCCCCAGTCTGATGGCGGGCCCGAGCGACTGGATGTCACGCCGTCCTCCTCGGCAAACTCGACCTCCTCCTCATGGGTAGCGCCGTCGCCCTCATCCACCCGGCTCTCCTCATGCGCCTCCTCATGCGGCGCTGGAGGAGCGCGGCTCGGACGAGGTCGGCTCCGAGCGCGGCTCGCCCCAACGCGGCTTGGACGAGGTCCGACGAGCGCGGCTGGAAGAGCGCCCCCCTTCGGGCGCCGCGTCGCGGGGCTCCTCGGCGTCGTCGGGCACCATGTCGTTCGGGTTGCCTGAGGGCCCAGCTGTTACAGCCAACTTGATATGTTACACCTCCCAGGGAGGTGCAACATATCAAGTTAGACGTCGAAATGTACTACAGCTCCTCCAGTTTTGGCTAGTAGGAAGGAGCTGCGTGGAAGCTCTAACAACATGGTATGTCAGAGCTCCCTGGGCGCTCTAACTTCCTCTAGCATGCCATGTTAGATCCACATGGGAGCTATAACATGGTAGGTTAGAGCTCCAATGGGGCTCTAACACCCTCTAGCATGCCATGTTAGAGCTCCCAGGGAGCTCTAACATCATGTAGCATGCCATGTTAGAGCTCCAGGTGAGCTCTAACATGGCATGTTAGAGCTCCAATGTAGCTCTATCATCCCTCTAACCTGCCACGCTAGAGCCCCATGGGAGCTCTAACATGGCATGTTAGAGCTCCATGCCATGGGGGGCTCTTATCAGACGTCGGGGGTGGGGGGGGGGGGGAAGAGGGGGGGGGGGGGGGGGGGCTACTACAGCTAGCTCAGATTTGGATGGTCTGACCTGGCGCCCTTTGCTTGCCCTTGCCCTTGCGCGCGTCGTTGCCCTTGCCCTTGGCGCCCTTGCCAATTGCCAGCGCGCGCGGCGCGCGGGCAGAGCAGGGGGTCGAGCCGATAGCTACGGGGACGAGGGAGACAGAGATAGGGAGAGAGAGACCCCCAACGCTTTCGGATGATGTCACTGCAGAGGTTTCGATGGGGATGGGAAGGTTGGCGAAAGGAGGGGGGGGGGGGGGGGGGGGATCATCTGGACAGGTGCGGCGGGGGCTGGGGGCTGGACTGGGGGCTGGGCTGGACAAGT